TGTATGTATACATGTGTGTATGTATGTATACATGTGTGTATGTGTGTGTATATGTACATGGGGGTTCTTTAGAAGGAAGAGACTGCTTCCTGGGAGTGTATGGTTTTGAGGGATGAGAGAAGGGCACAGAGATGGGAGGCTGATCGCAAAACTCGGTTGGCCCAGCAGCTAGTTCTTCTCACTGCTTTTCTGTTAGGTGTTGGGTTAGAAATTTTCTTCTCTCATAGTAGGCATGGCCTGTAGTGTCCCTTATGGGACATTTGTCACCAAGAAGGTTAAGTCTTATTCCCCTTGTGGAGGCTATTCCTCTGCCTCATATCTGAGAGAGAAGGAAGGTACTGGCCAGAAGCCCCTTTGCCTTTCTGTTTGGGTTAGGTTGGTGTGTGTGTGTGTGTGTGTGTGTGTGTGTAGTATGTGTATGTGAAGGTGGAGTGTAGATGTGTGTAGTGTGTGTGAGGCTGGAGTGTGTGTGTGATATGTGTGTGTGTGTATCTGTGAGGGTGTAGTGTGTATGTGTGTGGTGTGTGCGTGTGTAAGGGTGCAGTGTGTGTGGAGTGTGTGTGAGAGGGTTTAGTGTATGTGTGTGTGTGAGTGAGGGTGGAGTGTATATGTGTGTATAGTGTATGTGTGTATAGTGTATGTGTGTATAGTGTATGTGTGTGTAGTGTGTGTGTAGTGTGTATGTGTAATGTATGTAGTGTGTGTGTGTGTGTGTGTGTAGTGTGTGTGGGTGAGGATGAGGTGTGAGTGTGTGTTAGTCCTGTATTGTATCACCACCCACACAAGCCTTTAACTCATCAAAGGACCTCTTGAGCTTTAGAATGTGTGTGCTGTTTGTGGATTGGTCTCTCTGCAGGTGTGCTGGTGGCCAGACTATGCACAGCTGAACAGGAAGGACTTACCCATCTTTCCCGAAAGATCTTCTTACAGCTTCCTCTCGGAACCTGGTCTCTGAGTGCATTCTCCGCTGTGCTCCCTGGGCACTCTTCCTCTCAACTGTCATTTCTACTTTTTATTACATACTCTAGTCCACAGAATACAACGAAACTTACTTTATGAGGTTACTCACGGACAGAAAATCTAGGTGGCATCTCAGTTGTGTCCTCCCGAGCTCTGCAACGTTGGACAAGTTACTTAACTTCTTTAACCTCAGATATGCCTAGTGTCGAACTGAAAGCGTCATGTCTGCTAACCCCACCTTTCAAACAAATCAGGAAACTGAGGCTCAGAGTGACTTCTGTGGTGTCACATGGCTAGCTAGTGGTGACTTAGATCTGAGGCCTGTTTCCTGACTTCAGTGTCCTTCCAAGAACATTTAATTCTTGCCTGTGACACACAGACACAGACCCCGAGGCTGAGGTGATGCCTGTCAGTGTGGTTTTCCGTCCAGAGCAAAGGAGGAAGCTGACAGAACAGCACCTCTCCTCACGGCAGTTTTTCCCAGCTTGTGGAGTTTATTCAGGAACTACTTACCGACAGAGCATGTTAACAGGGGACCCTTGCTGGGTACTTGCTGCTTGCATGATGTTATTTAGCCTTCCATGGGCATCTCTATGACAAAAGGTTCTTCTTATTGTTAATTCTCTTTAAAGTAATTTTTTTTAATTGTGGTAGAATACATATAACAGAATTTACCATCTTGATCTTTCTGTGTGCCTCTGATGTGTGTATGTGTGGAAATCTATTTTCCCTCTCCCTCTCCCTCTCCTTCCTCCTCTCCCTCTCCCCTCCCCCTCCCTCCCCCTTATTTCTTGAGACTCAGGGTCTCTCATTGAACTTGGAGCTCATCAAGATGGCTAGCCTCGATGGTCAGCAAGGCCCAGGGATCCTCCTGTCTCTGCCTCTCTAGCTCTGGGCTTGCAGGCATGTGTCAACGTACCCAGGTGTGGTCTCTCTCTCTCTCTCTCTCTCTCTCTCTCTCTCTCTCTCTCTCTCTGTGTGTGTGTGTGTGTGTGTGTGTGTGTGTGTTTAACACAGGTGCTGGGGATTAAGCTCAGGTTTCATTCTTGTGCAGCAAACACTTTCCTGACTGACTCTCCCCAGCCCCTTCCTAACCGCTCTTTTTTATTGTCACCACCTTAACTGTCCAGGTGAGCAGCGTTAAGTCTATTTATAATGTGAAGCCCTCACTGTCATCCATCCCCAATAACTGAATTTCATTTTGCTAAGCTAGACTTTGGCCTCGTTAAACAATTCTTCCTTCTCCTCCTCAGGCCCTAGCAACCATCATTTCCCCTTCCGTCTCTGTGGTTTTGATTGCTGTCGGTAGCCAAGGATGACTTTTCCCCTTCATGACACAGCTGAAGGAAGTGAGCTCCGAGAACCATGTGTCATGCTCTGGTCCCCAGTCAGTGGTGACGATGCCGGGGACCAGTCTCAGCCAGTCTCAGCCAGCTCACTCCTGGACTCTTATTCTTTACGGTCCACAGTATCTGCTCTGTCATCCTTGTCCTGGATAAAGAAGGGAGACAGGAAGCACACAACCAGGGACCTTATAAAACAGCCAGCACGTAACACAGCATCTATACATGGTTTTAGCCTCGACCCACAGAAAGAAATACCTCGTGCATTGTTACTCGGTTATATGTTCTAAACCTATCTTTCAGGAAATAAAAGATTCCCCAAATACATTGAAATGTTGCTTTATATATTTGAGTATTTTCTATTCTATTTAATTATGTTTTTGCGGGGCGCCGCCTCGCCGAAAAGGAGAACGCCATGCTTCAGGATTCTTCTGGCAGCATTTTTATTACAGCTCTTTTAGTGTTACAGCTCTCTTAGATGGTAGTGAGGCGAGGGACCCCAAGCCCCAAAAGCTTGTGGCTTATATAGCGCTTTAGGAGATGTGCCGCACACTCATTGGCTCTTATGATGTCGCCAAATTAGCATACTGGTTTTCGTGCCTTGCGCAGGCGCACATTCAAGCAAGGCTCGCAAGAAGAACCAGGAAGCAGGAAACCGGCGCCATCTTGCGATGGCGGACGCGGCTCCTAACATGTTTTACTTAGTAAACTTGATTTTGAGAGTCACAAACTAATCATATTTTACAATTTGGAAAACACTCCTTTAGCAGGCTTCTTACTTAATGGTCGTTCTTAGTTGTCAATCCATGAACAGGTACTAACTCAGTCTATTCATTTGCCCTTCCTGTGTGTGTCCCTAGGGATTACCCTAGGAAGGACCACAGCAGTTCTTTTATGCTAGGTTAGCTTCAGAGGGCCAGAGAAGCTCTTAGCCATAGGGAGGTGACTTATCAGCCAGGAGGCTTAGCCACCCTTGCTCTGATGTCGGCCTTCCCCTGGGCTCTTATCCTCACAGACTCTGTCTCCCGGCTCACCCCGCTGTAACCTGAAGGAGAACCTCCTGAAGGACAACTGTGCTCCAGAGTCTATTGAGTTCCCAGTCAGTGTGGCCCAGATCCTGGAGGCTAGACCACTCAGCAGCAAGGGCTCAGGAGACAGCGCCCAGATCACTCAAGTCAGCCCCCAGAGGATTGCCCTTCGACTACGGCCAGGTAGGCACCGGATGGGTGTGAGTGGGAGAGGTAGGCATTGGGGAATCATCTTGGGAAGAGACCTGAAACCAGTGGGCACAGGACATCAGTTGAAGGTTTGAGTAGGAACTCTTGGGGGAGGGGCAGCACAGGATAGGACTGGGGTGGAAAGAGGAGGAGATGGGGGATGGGGGGCATGGGCAGGAGAATAGAAGGAGAGGTATCAGAACTGGAGTCAGAAGAGCTGAGTGTAAACCCCAGTGCTACCACATTAATCCTTGTGGCTCTGCTTCCTCCTGAATATTTTGATAGCTCTGGTGGAGGTGCAGGTGAGAGGAAGGATGAGAAAGGAAGTTGTAATTTCCCTCAGGGCACAGGGACTGTTTGGGAGCTGAGAAAATAGGGACAGAAAAGGGAGGACTATTAGGCTGAGGTGAGCTTTTTGAAGTATCGAGACTTGACTGAATCAATAAGAATTTGAGAGAGTCCACTCTATGCAAAGCATCCATGGGATTTGAAGAAAAGCAGGGTGCTCTTTACTTTGGAGATATAGTACCTCTGGTCAGCCTGGAGCTCACGTGCAGCCCAGGCTGGCCCTCGACTTTGCAGTAGTCTCCCTGCATCTGACTGGTGCATGCTGGGATTAGGGACGTAAGTCACCATACCCAGCATAGTTCCTGTCCTTTACAGAGTCTGAAGAGCAGCAACTGACAGTTGTATGACTTAGAATAGTAGACCCAGGGGGCCCAGAGGGTCCTACACACGGGGATGTAGATGGTGGGAAATCACAGAGTGGAAAAGAAGAGGTTCAAGAGACTTCGAGAGGACAGGAGTTGTGTGTGTGAGTGTGTGTGTGAGTGTGTGTGTGAGTGTGTGTGTGTGAGTGTGTGTGTGAGTGTGTGAGTGTGTGAGTGTGAGTGTGTGAGTGCGTGCGTGAGTGTGTGTGAGTGTGTGTGAGTGAGTGTGTGAGTGTGTGAGTGTGTGTGAGTATGTGTGTGAGAGTGTGTGAGTGTGTGTGAGTGTGTTTGTGTGTGAGTGTGTGAGTGTGTGTGAATGTGTGTGTGAGTGTGTGTGAGTGTGTGAGTGTGTGTGAGTGTGTGTGAGTGTGTGTTTGTGTGTATGAGTGTGAGTGAGTGTGTGAGTGTGTGTGAGTGTGTGTGTGTGTGTGTGGGAGGTAACCCAAACTCTCAAGCATAATTTGATCAAGCTGTTATTTATCCTTCGTGATGCTTACTCATGTATTTAATCCTAGAAGAGGAGGTGAAAAAAACCTAACATCCTTCTGCCTTCCAGATGATTCGAAGATCTTTTCGCTTCAAGTGCGGCAGGTAGAGGATTACCCCGTGGACATCTACTACTTGATGGATCTGTCTTACTCCATGAAGGATGACCTGTCGAGAATCCAGACCCTGGGTACCAAGTTGGCCTCTCAGATGCGCAGGCTTACTAGCAACCTTCGGATTGGCTTTGGGGCCTTTGTGGACAAGCCTGTATCGCCGTACATGTACATCTCCCCACCACAGGCAATCAAGAACCCCTGTTACAGGTAAGCCCTGTCTCCAGAAGCCAGTGAAGCTCCCCTTCCCTTTATCCCAGGCTGGTCTAAGTCCTGGTTCCCATTTTTAGCTCCAGGATTTTCCTTCACAAGTTTATTTTTTAATTTCTATTTCTGGTTTCTTTCTTTTTTTTTCTTTAAAGATTTATTATTTTATGTATATGAGTTCTGTAGCTGTCTTCAGACACACCAGAAGAGGGTATTGGATCTCATTACAGATGGTAATGAGCCACCATGTGGTTGCTGGGAATTGAACTCAGGACCTCTGGAAGAGCAGTCAGTGCTCTTAACCGCTGAGCCATCTCTTCAGCCCCTCACACCTCCTTTCGTTTTTGTTTGTTTTTTTTTTTGAGACAGATTTTTGCTCTGTAGCCTAGGCTGGCCTCAGCCTCCCGAGTGCTGTACTACAGGCACAAGCCAACCCACCTTACTTCTGGGGTTGGAGGAACTCTAGGAATTGCACTTAGGGTCTGATGTTTGCTAGACAAGTGTTCTACCACTGCACAACACCTCTGCCCTGGGCGTCTGTTTAGCTTATGCATCGTTACTTTTCCTGCTGTTATGATCAAATACGTGATAGAAGCAACTTAAGGGAGGAAAGGTTTATTTTTGGCTCATGTCTCTGAATGTGTTCCATCCATCATGACAGGTAAGGCAGGAAGTGTCTAAAGTGGCTTGGTCTGTGGTGGCAGGAACCTGTGGCAGCTACTTGCTGCATACCACCAGGGCTCGACAGGAAGCTGGCTTGGAACAATTCAGCCTTGCCCATATAACCCTATGTATACCAGCAAGGGTCTGTGTTAAAGGTTCTTCTACCTTTAACCTTTAACTGTGCCAAGCTGTGCCACTACCTGGGGTCCGAGTGTTCAGACACGTGAGCCTGTGGGGCCCAGCTTACATTTAAACCATAGCAGTTTACTATTGAGTGACTTACTTGACGAAGACTTTAAATCTATGTATGGTAGTGCTGTAAAACCATGATTACGAGGGCTGGAGAGGCGGCCCAGTGGTTAAGAATGCTTCCCACTCTTCCAGAGGATCTGACAGAGTCCAGTTCCAGTACCCAAGTCAGACAGCTCTTAACCCAAGCTGGTAGCTCCAACTCTAGGGGTCTGATGTTACCTTCTCACCTCCATGGGCACCTGCATACACTCACTGTTGGTTCCTGCTCTCTTTTTCCTCCCTCTCCATAATTAAAAATAAGCTACATTGAAATGATGATGTCTGGACTGTCAAGGCAAGGCTTTACTTTTTAACTTTATAAAAAATTCTACAGTACAGTTTTAAACTTCTGTCTGAGCTCCATGTTTCCCCAGAAAAGACATCAGTTAGTCTGGGGAGAGCAGTGCATGACCTGTAAACTTACTGGGTATTGTTGCAGTAAAAAAGTGTTAATGATTGCAGCCATGATAGCTTGGGCCCGTCTCTCGAAGAACCGCTTTCCGTGGTCCCCCATCGCTCTCGCAGGAGAAGGAAGCACTATTACGTCTCCATATAGATCTTGCCACTGGGCTACACCTCTAGCTCTGACTTCAACTGGCTTATGTATTAATTATTTTTCTTGTTCCTGAGTGGAATATAGCTTCAGAGAGGCTATCAGAGAGCCCATGCTTGGTAAATGGGGAGCCAGGGTCTAAGCTGTCCTGTCTGGTTTCATTGCTTCCTTTCTTGCCCTTTTAGCTATCTGGAGGTATGGTTATGCCACAGGTAGCTTGAAGAGCTTGGGGTCTAGGCTGTCTTAGTAATTGTGATTCTGTGAGGCTGGAGGTGTAGCTGTGTGGTAGACCATTTATCTGGCATGTGTGAGACTTTGGGTTCAGTCCTCAGCACGCTCACACACCATGCACACACACACACACACACACACACACACACAAACACATAGAGAGAAAGAGAGAGACACACACACTGACATATAGAGAGACACACACAGAGACACATACACACACAGACACACAGTGGCGTACACACAGACACATAGAAAGAGAGAGACACACAGACACATAGAGACCCACACACAGACACACACAGACACATAGAGAGACACATAGAGAGAAGGAGAGACACACAGACACATAGACACACACACACTCACACACACACACACACACACACACACTGAAAGAGAGAGAGAGAGAGAGGTGAGGAGAGAGAGAACTAATATGGCTTAGGCATGCCACCAGCCATATCTATCCCCCTCTCTTTCCCTGACCCCTTTATCACCTTTCCATCATGGCTTCTGCTAAGATGACCCCTCATCTCCCTCCAGTATGAAGAATGTCTGCTTGCCCATGTTTGGCTTCAAGCACGTGCTGACACTAACTGACCAGGTGACCCGATTCAATGAGGAAGTGAAGAAACAGAATGTGTCACGTAACCGAGATGCCCCAGAGGGCGGTTTTGACGCCATCATGCAGGCTACAGTCTGTGATGTGAGTTTGAGAGGCAAGGGCTGCCAGGTGTAGCTGGCACAAATCAAAACGGGGAAGGCAACAGTTCACTTGGGGATTCCCGGTCTGTTGGGGGATGGGAACCATACAGGACTTTGTACGGTGTGTGTAATAAATTGCTCCTGATACACAGTCTGTTTTTATATCCATGCCAAGGCCACAGCTGACACCTCTTTAGTCCCAGATATTTCCTAGGGAGAACATCTTCCCACATTTCCTGGAATTATTTCAGAATCAAGCCTGGGTTAACTTGACCTCAGCTAAGCGGGCAGATGTTAGGGTGGGATTTCTTCTGGCCTGGGCCAGCTCTGTGGATGCAGATGGATTCCTGTTATGTGTGGAGTTGAAGAAAGCATGCTTTAACCTCATGAGCTAATCAACAATGGGATGACTTCCTTATGGGGAATGAAGCCCGATTGGAAAGCTCTAGTTTGTGTTTAAGGCTTGGGGCTGAGGTCCCTCTCCAAGTCAACTCGCTCAGGTTTTCAGCTATGCTGGTTCTGGGGGTCTTTGTTTTGTACTGATGACATAGCTAAAGTCACTGTGTCTTTTTCTTTTTTAAATAGGAAAAAATTGGCTGGAGGAATGATGCATCCCATTTGCTAGTGTTTACCACTGATGCCAAGACCCATATCGCCCTGGATGGAAGGCTGGCAGGCATTGTCCTGCCCAATGACGGGCGCTGTCACATTGGCACTGACAACCACTATTCTGCCTCCACTACCATGGTGAGATGCCTGGTCCCTACTGTGGCTCGTCCGTGCTCACCCTGGTAGGGCAAGGCTTTTGTGCGAATTTGAAGACAGTTCTTCCTCTGGGCATCATACGGGGCTCAGCCCGTTCCTGCATATTTCACCTGGACTGTCTCATCCAGGGTATAAACTATCTGACCATGGAGATGTCCGTGCCTGTGGCCAGTGTTCATACTTAGTCTATAGTCATCAGTACCAGCATTTTGGCATCCGTAATGGACCCACATGATGTGCCAGGCACAGCTGGAAAGCTCACGTCTTCCCTTCCTCTGTGAATGGTCCCTTCGTGGAATCAAGCTCACTTGTAGTTATGGAGGGAAGACAAAGGTCTCATTGATGAAATAAAAAACCCCAGAGAGCAGAGCCTGTTGAGGAAAGGTTAAAGGGCACAGGGTCATTTGGTTTGAAGGAAAGATGGACCCGTGGATAATTTAGGATGATACATAAGAAAACTTCTGAAAAGTTATTTTATGTTTTAGTTAACTATATTAATTAAATAAGTGGGAAGGAGCTTAAATTGAAATAGGAGAAGTTGCTGTCAGCCATGAGACAAATGTCACAATGTTTAACGTAGTATCACTTTGGGTATTTGGGAGCAAGTTTTGACGTTTTTTCCTGTCTTGTCCCCGCCCACCCCCATTTCATTTTCTTGAGACAGGGTCTTGGTATACATTCTGGGCTGGCTTGTAACTCTTAGCCCTCTTGCTTTCACCTTGCAGATGGGATGGGATGGCACTATGCCACGATGCCTGCTTTGTTTGTTTGTTTGTTTTTTTTTTTGAGAAAGGATCTGTCTTGCTCTCTATGCAGCCCAGGCTAGCCTTCACCTTGAAGTCCTTCTGCCTCCACCTTCGGAGTGCTGGGATTAGGAATCTGGACCACCATGCTTGTTAATTTTTTCTGGTCTGGAGATTGAACCCAACGTCTCACATTATGTTAAGTATTGCCCCACCACCAAGCCTCCCCCACCTACTCTATTTTTTTTTAAGCTAATAAATCGAGGAACCACCTGCAGTTTAGAAACGATTAAAGGCAGGGCACCGAACTGGAGATCTCATGCGCTCGCTCGCAAGGTCTAGGATTCCAGGGACAGAGTCACGGTTCGTACTGCTTCCGGATCTCTCCACTTCCTTGCTGTTAGCCACGTCCAAGTTGAGCATGGCCAGCAAGCTTTGACACTAGTCCATACAGAACATGGAGCAGGAGCTGCGAGAGATGAAAACGCTATATAAGGACATTCTTAGGAGGTTTAGATGAAGAGAAGATATATTTCTACACATTATTAATAGCATGGGATGCATGACGGACGCTAAGTGTGTGCGTGACGCGGTCAAGGGCTATAGGCAGCTGAAGGAGGAAAACTCTTAGTAGCTAAGGTCAAGGAGGGCCTCCTGGAGGAGGCGAGCTTAGGCTAAGGAAAGAGGAGGAGTACTAAGATGACAGTCACTTCAGGTAGCAGGAAGATTGAGCTAGGTCAGTGCTGAGTAGAAGAGGGGTAGGGATGAGTGACATTTGAACTGTGAGGCTGAGATCATGTGACCAGTAGAGCAAGGTTAGGGCATTTGCCTGTAATTTCACAACAGTGAGGCCCAGCCCATGGAGATGTTTTGAATCTGCACGGGAAGGAAGGTGCTTGGTTTTGGAACCACCAGCCCAGGGTTCACAGCCGAGCTTCTGGCTCTACCGTTTCACTCAGGCATTGTGCCATTTTCTGTTGCCAACGATGCAATAGCACAGACACAGTAAGCTGGAAAAGAGCTTTAGTTTTGTATCTAGAGCTTTCGAATTTGAGGGACGGCATCTGGTGATGATGCCTGCTGGCTGAGTCCCACGACTCAGGCCATCATGAGGCAGGAGGTCAGGAAGCATGCGTGAGGCGGGAGGTCAGGAAGCATGCGTGTGGGCTTCTGTTTTCATTGGTTTCCTTTTGTAAAGCTATTGAGATTCAATTCTAGGGGCTTCTAGTCCTACTTACTTCCCAAAGACTCTACCCTAAATACCTTAGTGTGTGTGTGTGTGTGTTTGTGTGTGTGTGTGTCTGTGTGTATGTGTGTGTCTCCACCCCCTCAGCGTCTCATAGTGGGAATTCAGTTCCAGCACACGAAACCTGAGGGGCTCGCTGAAGCCACACCCAAACATAACACCCACTTTGATTAGGATAAAAAAATCTTTTAAGTTTCACATTGCCTTGGTCATACTCCAAATAAGGCAGGCTCAGAGGCTTAGGATCCAGAACGCCTGTGAGATGCTTCCATTACCGTCATTTTTTCCTCCTTTCCAGGATTACCCATCGCTGGGGCTGATGACTGAGAAACTATCCCAGAAAAACATTAACTTGATCTTTGCAGTGACTAAAGATGTTGTCAGCCTTTACCAGGTAATTAGGACTCTGGGTTTCTCTCTTGTCACCACAGGTGGACTTGTCCCAGGTGACCAGCTCCTGCTGTCACTAACCAGGGACCCAACCAGGAAAAATCCTTCTTAAACCCATTCTCCTGGCAGTTTACATTCCTCCCGGTAGCCTTTTTCCTCCAACCTCTCACCTATAAGGAAGCCTGGGAGGTGACTCAGTGGGGGAGGGGTATAAAGAGGTTTCTTCTTCTTCTTTCTTTCTTTCTTTTCTTTTTTTTTAAAATAATGTTTCTCAGATATGAAAATGTGTACTAGATCTGTTCTGGTAGTAAAAAGTAAGATATTCCACAGTGCCGTACAAAGTTCATTTTAAGACTTCTAGTCAGGTGGTGGTGGCGCACGCATTTAATCCCAGCACTTGGGAGGCAGAGGCAGGCAGATCTCTGAGTTTGAGGCCAGCCTGGTCTACAGAGTGAGTTCCAGGACATCCAGGGTTGCCCAGTGAAACCCTGTCTCAAACAAACAAACAAACAAACAAACAAACAAACAAACGAACGAACACTGGCAGTCTGACCAAGGAGGGCTGGAGGAGGAGACCACTTTCTTCAGTACGCTGTGGACATCTTTGTCTTTCTTTCTAGAATTATAGTGAGCTCATCCCTGGGACCACAGTGGGAGTCCTGTCTCATGACTCAAGCAATGTCCTCCAGCTCATTGTTGATGCTTATGGGGTAAGAATGTTGGCCCAGGAAGCCTGGTGAGTCTGCTGGATGCGGCTTACTCATCAGAGCTTTTAAAAAAGAAATAAAAGAGGGATGTAGTGGTCTGTAGTGGAAAGGAAAGCAGACACATAAATTTCTTTCAGGAAGGAAATTTATCAAACAGCCATGCTTGGGCCCGTGGGTGGGAGAATATTAGATAAAAACAATACAGTATGGGGTCTAAATATAATAAGGCCTTAGAGGGGACAAGAGGCTTCCCTATAGAGCCTGAAGAGGAACTTCATTGAGAGAGTGAGAGAGGTTCAGAGAAGGAGAGGGAGAGGGAGAGGTGGGGGTGGGGGGTTGTGGTGGTGGAGATAGAGACAGACACAGAGAGACAGAGAGAACAAACTTCCATGAGAGCAATAGGAGGGGAGGCCTTAGGAGCCTCTTCAATGAACAGCCTTTATCTCCTGACAAAATCTTCCTGATGAGCCTAAGACCAATCCCCAGAACAAACGGAAGCTTCAGCTTTTATACGCTTTAGGAGTGGCTGGACGTCTCGTATCATGTGATTTCACACACAGAGAAGCCAGGGGGGACTATATACATTGAGAGCAGTCAAGTCAGAGCACAGATTGCCTTGGAACTCTCTGTCCCAAAGAGAGCTGCAGGGAGGCCTGACTCAGGCTATGGGATCGTGCCTAAAGGTATAGGCCCATGTTCTACCGGAGCTCGGATTTGGGAGCCCTGACTGCCATTCTCCCGTGTGGCCTTACTGCATTTCCCTTATGCTCCCAGATGATGATGGCCAGTCTCGGGAGTAATGGCACCTTCTGAAATGGACCAGAAAGGAAAGCCAGGGAGGAACAGGAAGAGCATGTGGGGAGCTTAGAGATGGAGGAGGCTGCAGATGGGGATTAGATGCACAAGGATGCAGCTGTAGGGCTGAGTGAGGGAAAGCCAGGTCTCCGCAACATACAAAAGGGGTGGTGAGCACAGAGCCTCTACCGCAGCAACTGCCAGGTAGACCCCAGGGCAGGTCCAAGGCCACTGCCTTGGCTTTGTGTGGATGGGCTTGGCTTTTGTCTATGCCCTAACCTTTTGCCCCTTTCTGCTCAGAAAATCCGCTCTAAAGTGGAGCTGGAAGTCCGTGACCTCCCGGAAGAGCTATCGCTGTCCTTCAATGCCACCTGCCTCAACAACGAGGTCATCCCAGGCCTCAAGTCTTGTGTGGGCCTCAAGATTGGAGACACGGTGAGGTGGGCTAGGGAAGGAATGAGTTCTGAAGCTCTGACCTTGGGCCTCGGAATCTGTGTGCACCCCGACCCTTTCTGGAATTAGCTGTTAAAGAAGTAGAGTTGCCAATCTTCCTCTGAAGCTTCTGATGCTTAAGGTTTCTACAGCTGGCGAGTAAGCCTATCAGTTTGTTTGTTTGTATTTGTCTTTAGAGAAGGTCTGTTTTGGTTTTCTGTGTTTGCACTTGCACGGCTGATTGAAATTGAAAGTATTTCTTAACCTATCTATTCACCCAGGGGAATGCGTTGCTTTTCTTGGCGACATAAAATGGGGCAGTAGAGCATCTGTGGGCTCCTGCTGAGCACTGAGCACTGGCCTCAGCAGGTTTTGTTCTGGCCTATCCATCAGCAGGTGGAACAGGCAAGAATACCTGCCCCCGGGCTGGTGAGATGGCTCAGTGGTTAAGAGCACTGACTGCTCTTCCAGAGGTCATGAGTTCAAATCCCAGCAACCACATGGTGGCTCACAACCATCTGCAATGAGATCTGATGCCCTCTTGTGGGGTGTCTGAAGACAGCTACAGTGTACTTATAATAAATAAATAAATAAATAAATAAAGTTTAAAAAAAAAAAAAAAAAAAAGAATACCTGCCCCCTTGGGACTTCAGAGTGTAAATGTTCACCTTGCCCCTCCTTCCCCTCCACCATTTTCTTGATTATTACTGTCTTTTTAAAAAAGATTTATTTATTTATTTTTTATGTATATGAGTACACTGTCCCTGTCTTCAGAGACACCACAAGAAGGGATCAGATCCCATTACAGATGGTTGTGAGCCACCGTGTGGTTGCTGGGAATTGAACTCAGGACCTCTGGAAGAACAGCTGGTGCTCTTAACCGTTGAGCCATCTCTCCAGCCCGATTATTATTGTTTTTTAATTTTATGCATGCATAATTTTATGGTTATTTTGCCTGCATATATATTTGTGTATCACACATGTGCCTGGTACCCGTGGAGGCTAGTATTGAGTATCAGATTTCTTTGAAATGGAGTTACAGATGGTTGAGATCAGCTGTGTGGATTTTTTTTGTTTGTTTGTTTTTTTGTTTTTCGAGACAGGGTTTCTCTGTAGAGCCCTGGCTGTTCTGGAACTCACTCTGTAGACCAGGCTGGCCTCGAACTCAGAAATTGGCCTGTTTCTGCCTCCCAAGTGCTACCACCACTGCCCGGCTAATTGTGTGGATTTTAACCCAGGACCTCTGGAAGAACAGCCAGTGCTCTTAACCTCTGAGCCATCTCACCAGCTCCCCTGGTTTTCTTAGCTGGTTCTCCTCTACTCTACCTGGTAGATGGGAGAGAGGAATGAAAAGAAATAGATCTTCTGGTTCAGTTCCCTCTAAGTTCATATTCTAAGCACAAGTGTTCACACTGCATACTCTGCAGCCTGCAATACAATGCTATACAGCAATCTCTGTTTGCCGTTGACAGTTGTAAGGCATGGTGTGGTGCGAAGCAACATTTTGTGTGTCTTACTGTTATTATGTAACAATAACACTTACTCCAGTTGGCATAGTTGGCCAGAGTAAAGTTTTCACAGAAAAACAGGTTCTGTCCTGCTTGAAATGGTTTATTTCTCAGGACAAAACCAGCTTTCTATTGCTTGTCTGTAACTGTCCAGTGAGATACGTCCCAGTTGTATTACTATGCCAGTGTATCTATTACTCTGTAGACTTGATACAATTAAGGCTGAGGAACTCCCCTGGGCAGGTGGATTTGACATCCAATTTTGTTGTCCCTGGAATTTTGTTGTCGCAGTGGCAGGGAAGCATTTCCTTTGGGGATAGTGTTACTACCCAGATCCACAAAGGTCTAAATGTCATTTTTCCATCCAGGTGAGTTTTAGTATCGAGGCCAAGGTGCGTGGTTGCCCCCAGGAGAAGCAGCAATCTTTCACTATTAAGCCTGTGGGCTTTAAGGACAGCCTCACTGTCCAGGTGACCTTCGACTGTGACTGTGCCTGCCAGGCCTTTGCCCAGCCTTTCAGCCCACGCTGCAACAATGGTAACGGGACCTTTGAGTGTGGGATGTGCCGCTGTGACCAGGGCTGGCTGGGGTCCATGTGTGAGTGCTCCGAGGAGGACTACCGACCCTCTCAGCAGGAAGAGTGCAGCCCCAAGGAGGGCCAGCCCATCTGCAGCCAGCGGGGCGAGTGCCTCTGTGGCCAGTGTGTCTGTCACAGCAGTGACTTTGGCAAGATCACTGGCAAGTACTGTGAGTGCGATGACTTCTCCTGCGTCCGCTACAAAGGGGAGATGTGCTCCGGTGAGTACAAGTGCCCACTTGCATGTTCAGGAGCCACTTGTGCACGCATACCCAAAGTGCCTTAGGAACAAGTGGAGGGCTTGAGGCTGGCAAGGCGGGCAGAACTGAGGATCCCCTTCACTGAATAGAAAAACCAGAAACGAGCAGGGAGGGAAGCAGTCCTTTTCCCCTTTGCTTGTGAGACCGGAGGAAGCCAAAATGAATAGGCAGAAGAAACATAGGAGAAACATCAAGGGGAAGTAGTTTATCTTGCTTTTCTTTCTTCTGCTCTCTCTGATAATGTTGCAAGTTCCTATTCCTTTTGAATTTAAGGACCAACACCTCTCTCTCTCTCTCTCTCTCTCTCTCTCTCTCTTTCTCTCTCTCTCTCTTTGGTTTTTCGAGAAAGGGTTTCTCTGTGTAGTCCTGGCTGTCCTGGAACTCACTCTGTAGACCAGGCTGGCCTCGAAATCAGAAATCCGCCTGCCTCTGCCTCCCAAGTGCTGGGATTAAAGGCGTGCGCCACCACCGCCTGGCTCAACATATTTCTCATCTAAAAAAAAAAAAAATCAGTCTCATGGTAGTTAAACTGCTCATGTTTACAGATGGATGATGTTGGAATATACTGTAAGTAAGGCTAGTGATAATTTTACTTGAATTTATTTTTTTATCCCCAGAGACTTAGAAAGTAGTGGTATGTATGCAAGACATTGGGACACTTAGATCAGTCCTTGGAAAACGGTATGCTTGTGTTAACATTAGTTAACATTACCCCTGTTTATTATCTGTCTGTTATTATTTGTATGCTGCCCCTATGCTGTCCAAAATGGTAGCCACCAGCCACATGTGGCTATGTAAACTAGTTGAGATAGAAAATATAAGTTCGCTGGGCGGTGGTGATGCACGCCTTTAATCCCAGCGCTTGGGAGGCAGAGGCAGGTGGATTTTTGAGTTCGAGGCCAACCTGGTCTACAGGGTGAGTTTCAGGACAGCCAGGACTACACAGAGAAACCCTGTCTCAAAAAACAAAACCAACCAACCAAACAAACAAAAACCAAACAAACAAAAAAGAAAACGTGAGTTCAGCTTTTCAGTTGGACAGTAGCCACATGTGGCTAGTGGCTATCATACTGGACCATGCGGAGAGTGAACATTTTGACATAGCAGAAAGTTCCACAGGATGGTATGGCCATAGGGACTTCCTACCTGCAAATGAAAAGTGTGTATGTGCATGTGTGTGCACACATGTTTGCATGAGTGTGCACATGTGTGTGCATGAGTGTGCATATGTATTTGTACATGTGTGTGGATGCATATGTGTGTATATGGTTATACAGACTAGAGGCGGCCATTGTGTGTCTTCTTCAGTCATTCTCTACCCTACTTTTTGAGACAGGGCCTCCCATTGACCCCGGAGCTCACCAGTTGGCTAGTGTGGTTGCCTGTGGGCTCCGGAGATACACCGGTTTCTGCTTCGAAGTGTTGAGATTACAGCATATAGACAGGTGTGTGACACTGAGCCTGGCTTTGTTTTTTTAAAACCTGGTGCTGGAGATCTGAACTCAGGTCCCCATGCTTGCAACACAAGCTATCTCTCCAGCCTGAGGACTAGAACTTTGAGCCCTTTGACCTGCAGGATTCTGAGTTGTCCTTACTGAGAAATTCAGTGCAGTCCTGAGGCCTATTGGTAACTTCAAACTGGCCCCAGAGACCAATTTTGGGTTCTTTCCCGACAAAGAGGAGCCAGAATCATGGTTAACATGGTCTTTACCTGAATACTCTAAGGGCAAATGGACAGCCTGAGTTCTTAGGCTCTGGAGGTGGGTTTATGTTGGACTGTGGCTTCTGTTTGGAACAGACAAGCTGCAGGCATTTGCAAGCCACCTTGGCTGGGCTGATTTATTTACAGTGGACTGTGTGGACAACTGAACAGAGACTGTGTAACTGTTTTTTGAGGTGATCTAAGACCCAGATGGGCTTCATTTGCATTGGGGTTTAGCCAGTTGAGCTAAGTGACTCAGGGGCTCACTTTAACATGGTGACACATGCCTGCAATCCCAGCACTAGAGACTCTAATTAGGAGGTCAAGGTCACCCTTAGATACATAGTAAGTTTGAGGCTTGTTCAACACCCAACCACCACCACCACCACCACCACTACTACCACCACCACCAAAAAGCTCAACAAGAAAGATAAGTATGCCATGTAAAAACAGGCCCCAGGGGGCTGGAGAGACTACTCAGTGGTTACGAGCGTGTACTATTCTTGTTGATGACCCAAGCTCAGGTTCCAGGTACCTCACAAGCACCTGCCACTCTGGCCCTAGAGATGCTAATGCCTCTGACCTCTAAGGCACCCTATGCTCAATGTACACGTGGTTACAACACACATAATTAAAAAAAATCTTTTAAAAACACGCCCCACAGCCAGGAAGTGGTGGCACACGCCTTTAATCCCAGCACTTGGGAGGCAGAGGCAGGCGGATTTCTGAATTCAAGGCCAGCCTGGTCTACAGAGTGAGTTCCAGGACAGCCAGGACTACACAGAGAAACCCTGTCTCCAAAAACCAAACCAAACCAAAACACACACACACACACACACACACACACACACACACCCAAAAAACTAAAAAAAAAAAAACAAAAAAACCCAACCAACCAAAAAAAAAAACAAAACCCACGCCCCACAAACATAAAAGCTGTGCCTTTTCTGATCTGTAACACTGTCCACTTCAGTTATGCCGGCAGATTTTGAGAAAGGGCTTGGGGGAAAGTGATATCACTATTCAATTAGTGATAAAAATGATCAAATAAATAATAACAATAATTTGATATAATTATTATTTATATCATTATTAAATTAACTAAATTAGTGGCCAGAGATCAGGACCCCGGTGATGAAAATGGGCACGCAATAGAAGTTTGAACGAGGGTGAGAGGCAGGGGCTTCAGATCATTCTAATATTTAACAGTATATCATGCTCCTACTACCAAAGGCACACACAAGGAGCAAGCTGGGAGTGCCAGGTGAGGTTGGCCTAGGAAAGGCCTTCAGAGGAGCCTCCGGGCCCCTTCACCTCTTCAGAAATGGTTGGTCCAGCGTGTAGCCTGGGGGAGGGGTTCCAGCCAGAGTGCGTTTTCTTTGGCTGCCAACCCCACCGAGCCTTGGCAATTCCCACCTCCCGAGCTTCACTCCAGTCCACCCCCTCTCCCGGGTGGGGGGACTCCTCCTTTGGGTGCCGCACTCACTTTGCTGCTTCTTGCCAGGGTGTCTGGTGCCCGATCGAACTTCTCGTCTTGTCCTTGTGACACTGCTCTCGCATCCTTAGGGACACATGTTCATGGGGTGCTTGACATTGTGCTGACATTTGGTTCCTGTGGGTGAACAAGGGGTCATGTGTGATTCCTGACCTCTCAGAGCCAATGTCCAGCGCATCAGTGTCCCCCTTTTATGCCTGCCTGTGGGTGGCATCACGGGGCAGGAGTGCTGTGACTCTGCTCCTTCCTGTGACCTCAGCATGCAGCTTGCTGCCTGGTCTGCTCCTCCCCGTTTCAGGCTTGGTCTTTGAGGTTGCTTGTACCTCTAACCTGTTCCCCTCTACCTCAGACAGCAGGGAGACACATCCTTCCTCCCAGGCTCTTTCCCCCCTGCTGCACACAGATGGACTTCCTCTATGGGCTAGGCCATATGCTGTAGCCATGTGGGAGGAACAGGTATCAGCAGACAATTTTACTGTTTATTTAATATGCCAAAGTGTCTGTCACATTAGGAATCACAACCTGCTGGAACCCAGAAACGAGATGTCTGTAGAGTCCCCAGAGAGAGACTCATGGATAGGAATCTCCTGGGCAGTTTCATGGAGGTGATGTCTGATGGATCTTGAAGGAAGGCTGGTTCTGACAGGAAAGGAGTGGAATCGGAAGTCAGTCTGGAAGTCTGGCTTTGCAGGGAGAGTCACCACGTTCCCTCTGACTGAAATCTTTCCTCCTCTCCCTCTTGCTCCCTCCTCTGGCTTTCCTGTGAACCCAGCCTAGGCCCCCCTTTGGCTGGAGAGGTACCAACACTGTGACATTACTATACTGTGGTTTCCTTTTAAGGGCTGACTCTGCCAGGGCCTGGGGTCGGCCTGCTGGCTCCGGCTACCCACTTCTCTTTCTGACATCACTCTCTGGCTCGCCCAGCAGATCCTCTTGTCAAAGATCACTTTGTTTTGCTTCACAAAGGAAACACTGTGGGACGGGGTTCTGCGGAGGCAGAGGCCTCCTCTGAGTCCTGCCAGGGCTCTGTGACATCCTTCTTTCTCCATCCAGGAACTGTGGCTAAAAGCAAGCATAGTGGACATGGTGGAGGACCTACTGTCTGGCACACCACCCCCAGCTGCTGCTTGGTGACTGATTAGAGCTCACAGCCGCTCTTTCTTTGGAGCGGACAGGTTCAGCCTTGCCTTCAGAAGTTGACCAGGGAAGGAAGGTTGTGCAGAGGCAGTTCCTCCTCCTCAGAGTGCCCAGCTCTGTGGTGCTACTCACATTTCCAAACTCGTCATGGGCTCAGGCTGGAAGGAGTTCCTATCCTAGATCACATACCTATTGTGCGCACACGCATGTGTGTGTGTGTGTTTGTGCACGCATGCCCATGCAAGCATGTACTAGTATGTGCATGCACATATCCATGTGTAGAAATCAGAGGACCATTCTGCCATTTCTCAGGAATTGTCTACCTTGCTTATGGAGTCAGGGTCTCTTGCTTGGACCTGGTTTGTGAGCAAGCCCCAGGCATCTGCCTGTCTTTGACTTCCTAGTGTTGGAGTTACAAATACTTGCTAGCATATCTAGCTTTTTAAAAAATGAGTTCTGGGGATAGAACTCAGATTTTCTAGACCATGGCAATCACTTTACTGACTGACCTCTTTCCTGAGCTCCGATGGCTTCTGGCTTCGCCTCCCTTCCTTCTCCTCCATAAAGAGAACCCTAACTATAATGTGCTTTTAGAGCGCCCAGTCTCATAACTTAGAGCATTTCTGGTTCCCAGCTTTCCTGCAAGCCCCAACTTAAGCTCTATGAGTAGCTTGCTTCTGGTCTTATCTTTTTTTAAAAAAATTAAAACAGATTTCTAATTAATTAATTAGTTAATTAATTAATGTTTTTTTTTCAAGATAGAGTTTCTTTGTATAGTCTTGGCTGTCCTGGAACTAGATCTGTAGATCATGTAGGCCACAGAAATTCACATACATCTGACCCCAGAATGCTGGGATTAAAGGTGTGTGCCACCACCACTTGGCTATTTTTTATGTTGCTAAAATGATTTATTTTTATTTTATGCACATTGGTGTTTGCCTACATGTATGTGGAGCTGGAGTTATGGATAACTCTGAGCTGCCATGTTGGTGCTGGGAATTGAACCTGGGTCTTCAGAAGAGCAGTCAGTGCTCTTAACCACTGAACCATCTCTCCAGCTGGCCTTTAGCATGTGGAGAGAGAAGGAGGAGAGGAATGGGGAGGGGGGAAGGAAATGGGGAGAGAGAGTGAGAAAGGGCAAGAGGCAGGTGTTCTGCCTGCATGTACGTCTTTACACCGTGTGCATGCAGTGCCTGTGGGGGCCAGAAGAGGGCACCACATCTCCCGAGGATTGCAGTTACAGACAGTTGTTAGCCACCCTGTGGATTGAGGGACTCCAACTCTAGCCTTCTGGAAGAGCAACCAATGCTGTTTACAGCTGAGTCCTCTCTTCAGCCCTAATGTACAGCCTAGGCTGGCCTTCACCTTGTGATCTTCCTGCCTCTGTCTCTTTAGCATGTGCTCTGGTCCTACTACAACTGGCCCATCTGTTCTAAGAAACACATATTTCTTTCTAAGGGAAAAAGCAAGCTGTAGCTTTTAAACTCACAGGAGTTTAAAAGTTGGCCACTAAACCCTACCAAAAAATGGCCTGCTCTCTCTCTAGTGCTTGAGAGAGAGAGCCACGTGTTTGAGTCTCGAACGATGATGTGTTTATGAGAGGGCAGTGCAGGGCCACAGGCGCAGGGGCCCATAGTGTCTAAAACACAGTGGCTCATTGAGGGCAGGAGATGTGATCTAGGTACCGTCAGAGGTATGGCCTTGTACCACTCTCTCCGGAGTGACTGATGTGATTTCTGGACCCGAATCTGCTCCTTTTCTGTCCTCTAATTAGCAGTCATATTTTGATTATCTGTCCAGTTCTTCCTGATGCGGAGCACGAGGGAGCGGAGCACGAGGGAGCGGAGCACTAGAGAGCAGAGCACGAGGGAGTGGAGCACGAGGGAGCGGAGCACGAGGGAGCGGAGCACGAGGGAGCGGAGCACGAGAGAGAGAGAGAGAGAGAGAGAGAGAGAGAGAGAGAGAGAGAGAGAGAGAGAGAGAGAGGGGCACGAGGGAGCGGAGCACTAGGGAGCGGAGCACTAGAGAGAGAGCAGGCCATTTTTGGGTAGGGTTTAGTGGCCAACTTTTAAACTCCTGTGACGTGAATAGGAGAGCAATCCAGCATTAGGAGGTAAAGCCTGCCTTCAAGCAGCCTGCCCTCCCCGTGCCAGGCTCCCTCCCGGTCCTACACTCGTGGAAGTGAGTGAACCCTCCACAGCAGGTCTGGTGGCTCTTCGCAACACTGTAGTACCCCAGCCCAGGGCACATCTGCCACGTGTGTGTGTGTGTGTGTGTGTGTGTGTTTTCCATGGAATGAGGAGATTGCAAGCTCCCCTGTAGCACGGGTCTCGTCCGGCACGCTCACATGAATCTCCGGTGTCCAGCATGTGGTACGAGTTCAATAAATGGGTGTTGAGTACATGGGTGTTGTGTTTTATAAAAAGATAAGGAGAGAAGGAATATGTTTGGTGGAGGTGCAGTAAGGTGTGGGGAAGGGCGTGTCACTGTCATTGCTGGAAATACCGATGGCACAGGTGCCAGTGGGAATATTAAGCTTCCTTGGGATTGGATAGTACCATAAGTCTTTTCTCTAAACGCTCCCCAAAGCTGCCCTACTGTGCTCTCGGCTACATAGGGTGACGGGACGTGTTAGTTATTTATTTCGCTGTTACAAAGTACCTGAGAGAAATGAAGGAGGAAAGATTTGTTTTGGCTCACGGTTTCCGAGGGTCCAGTTCATGTTTGCTTGGCCACAAACGCTTAGGGCAGGACAGCATAACAGGAGGAGCATGCGGTAGAAGAGAGCTGCTTGCTTCACGGCCAGCTGGAAGCAGAGAGCAAGCAAGAATTGGTCAGGGAGACATCTACTATACCCTGCAAGGACCCACCGGAGGTGACGTCTTCATATAACCAGGCCTCGCTGCTCAAATTTACAGAATCTTTCAAAATAGCATTACGGGCTAAATCAAAACACAAGCAGACGAGAGACATAAGGGAAAAGACAGGTTGTATCGGTGAGGCAGGATGCCGTTGAACCACGCTTACAACTTCAGAAATGAATCATGGTACATGCTTCTGCAGCTCTGTGGTGCAGGTGCAGGAAGCGTTGATCAGCGGAAGTTTGTTGGAGGCTTTTGGTCTCTGTGAGGTGGAGGATTTTGAACTTCGTGAGGTTATTGCTAACCACATGACTGCTGTTTACCTCTGAACACTCTCTCTCCTCTTCTCACTCAGCTTTTCTCCTTTTCTGCTGCCTTCTCTCTATGGCATCCACAGGATCTCTTTAGCAGTGCTGGCCCTCCGCAGGCTGTAAGGTAGGCTGTATTTGTTCCCTGTGCTTCTTTGGCCCTGTTGGCTGACTCCATAGGCTCTCAGTGCCTTCTCTCTGGCCCTTGGGTACCCTGCCGCATCTACCTGCATACCCAGGGCATGCTGTGTACCTTCCCTTGCTGGCACTGGACACGAGGCTGTACCATTCTTCCTTCTCTTTCCAGTGCATTTGACCAACTCGTGCATTCACCCTCAGAGCCTTGCTTCTTACCTTGCAAGGTGACAGCACCTTGAAAGGTGACAGCTGGTTTGAGGGTTGGCCTTTCGTGTCATGCTGGAGAGGGAACAGTCCATTATTTTGTTTGTGGGAGGGGCTAACTTGTTATAGTCAGAGCCCCTGTTGGCGTCTGATCTAACAGGGAAAAGATAATGATTATGAGGGTTGGCCTTTCGTGTCATGCTGGAGAGGGAACAGTCATGTCAGGTCAAAAGAAGACAGGTGTAGGGGCTGGAGGAGCCCTTTCCCATCACGACGACGACACTCTGTCAAAGTTCCTGAGTGTCCAGTGTGGGCAGAGGCTGTGGTCAGCCCTCGGGTCTAAGGAGCTGACTTTAATCTTCAGACGGATGCTGTCAGAGAAGGATGAAGGATTCAGAACAGGGCAAGAAGAAGGGCAGGAAGTCTGGGAGACTTAGATCTGAATACTCCTCTACTTTCCAGGTTTCTGCCCTTGGGATGCCTACATTGTAGTTTGTGTCTCTGGGGTAGAGCTCCTCTGGCAACGAGCCAGGTCCCCCGGTCACCTGCAGATCATTGTTAGTGTGGTGATGCAGTAATTCATTAATTCGCTCTAAGCTCTCCAGTGGGTGTGTCTGCCTCCTCTACACCCGCCCAAATGTTGTTTTGGATTCCAGAATGAAACGCACGCACGCATGCACGCACGCACGCACGCACGCACGCACGCACGCACGCACGCATGCACAGCCTTATTTTAATATGCCCTAAGCTGCTCAATGGCTGGGCACATCCAAACCTCGCCACAGTTAACACACTTTCCCCTCCGATAGTCCTGAATTATTACTTATTAAAATCTATATTCTAACTTGGTTGCCTGGACCCAGTTGGGCAGCCCTCTCGGGGTTCACTCTCCCGGCTTCTTCATGTGACTGTTTGCTTTCTGCCCCAGTCACATGGGGCATTGAACTGGGATCAGAAGACCTGGAAGAGAGAACTGGAGGACAGGGGACACAAAGAACGAGCGGCTTGTCTATAGGCTGATCAAACAGTAATTTTTATTTTTTTCGCACAGGGGTTATATACACAAAAAGGCAAGATGTGGGGAAGGGAATGTTGCAGGAGCGTAGACGCCTTCAGGGGGAGTACAGATATCTTCCAGAACAGGGTATCGGCTGGGTGAAGGTTCAGGGAACAGGCCACTATGACTCTGTCTATGATTCACTTGTTCCTTATCTAAACTGGTACCATCCACCAAGGCTACCTATCTACAAGGCCTATGACTATTAGTTCTTATCCAGGCTGGTAAATTTCTGCCAAAGCTGCCTGTTTACAATATCTTATAGCTATCTGTTTCAGTGTTTTTCCACAGAGATCAAGACTTTGTGTTAGCAGGCTGACTTAGGCCTATTGCTGATTTCAGGCCTTCACTGTATAAGCAAGGCTGCCCCTGACAGCTTTCACTTCTCCATCTCTCAAGCTAGAGCTTTCTTGCTTCCCCGTTATGGTGACTCCAACCTCCTTCCTGTGGTCCCTTGCCCAGGAAATGTAAGGTCCAGTCTCTGTCTCCCTGCCTAGCCACTGGCTGCCGGCAAGTTTAATTACCAATTAGAGCCAACTGGGGGCAGGGACCCTCAGCGTCTTACAGGCACACCAGCAGATTTCTGTGTGATGTTGGAAGCTGAATTAATGCAAATAGCATCAAAACCAATCCACAAGTGCGGTTGGGAGAACAGGGGGACGGTTCGTAGTCTGTTGCCATGGGGTGGGCTTCTCACCAGCTGGTCTGCTGTCCTGGCTCTGTTTGTAGGCCATGGCCAGTGCAACTGTGGGGACTGCGTGTGTGACTCGGACTGGACTGGCTACTACTGCAACTGTACCACACGCACCGACACCTGCATGTCCACCAACGGGCTGCTGTGCAGCGGCCGGGGCAACTGCGAGTGTGGGAGCTGCGTGTGCGTCCAGCCAGGCTCCTATGGGGACACCTGTGAGAAGTGTCCCACCTGCCCAGATGCCTGCTCATTTAAGAAGTGAGTGAACGGTGTGGAGAGAGTTGGGAGGCTGGAAGAAGGAAAAAGGCTCCTGGCCTAGAACTCGCAATGCTCGAGGCTCTGTCTAGAGAACAGTTTGGCAAATGGCTGCTTTCCTTTTTTTCTGTGAATGCTTTTCTGTGGGGAAGTTTGAGGTGGCCCCTCGCTGTGCAGGGACCAACACAGAACCAGTCGGAGCAAGCCGTCTTCCAGATGGCATCACGAAGCCCTCTGCATGGGGAGGGGAACCAGATAGGACATTCTCCTAAATTTCCAGTTCAGTGTTCTGACATCTGTGGGAGGTGCGAGGGGCTGAAGTTATCACCTTCACCATCACCATCACCTTCACCATCACCATCACCTTCAC